CCACACACACACACACACACACACACACACACACACACACCAGTACGTATAGGGACATTTAAGAGGGTTTTTTCTCCAAGTAACTCTAATTTCATGTTGCAGAAAAATGTGTTTAAAAATTGTGTATGGTCTCTTGTTCTTGTTCCAAGTTACCTTCCTGTCCACTAATTGTTTGCCTCTCACAAAAGCCACAAAGCCTTCCAAGAAGACAGTAAAGGCTTATGTCATGCTTGAGCTTTAGTTAGGCTGAAACTTGAAAGTTACGTTGCACGACATAAATGCAATGTTTAGGTATTATTATTTGTATTACTATTATATTGATTTATGCCTTAGTTTCAGTTTGTACTGTTTACCTTTTTTAAAGTAATGTGAAATAGATTTTTGTATTTTACAATTTTTTTATTGATATATTTGTATTTGCATTTTGAATGCAATTTGGCAATTAAATACATTAAATGGGTTTAGTTTTCATTTCATTATTAATGTATGCAATTTCAGCAATAAAAATTTAAATTTTTCTAAAAAGAAAACAAATGAGTTGTTTATTTTAAGAGATCTATCTTATTATCTCTTGCATATTTAGTATTGCTCTTAAATAAATAAAAATGACTTCTTATCCGATTACTCGATTAATCGATGGAATAATCTGTAGAATACTCGATTACTAAAATAATCGATACCTACAGCCCTAATTATTATTATTAATAATTTTAATAATAATTAATACTTTTCTTTCCACTGTTTGTTTGCTGGACTTGTTTGTTGCTAAAGATTTGACTATTAATATTAACAGAACATTAGTAGAAAATTAATTAAATAAACCGTTTTAGTTGATAAAACATTGCTTACTAACTTAACTAAAAAAATGCTTAAAAATACAAAAAAAAAACTTACTTAAAAGAATTTTGGTTACGGTTCAGCACTTACAAAGGAAATGAATGGGCTCAATTTTTGGAAGACTTGAAAGTTGAAATAAATGTGAAGCTTATTTTATTTAAAAAAAAAAAAGTGTTAAAACTTCTGTTAAAACTTGTGTATTTGAGCTGTAAAGCTGAACATTTTTACAGTTGTTTTAAGTGTTACTTAGGTGATAGTTACAAAATTGTGTAACAATAATGCAATTGAAAACAAAATGCCATTGACATGACAACTGAATACATTATAATAAAATGTTAATGCCGCAATTTCACTATTCATAAGGATTCATTTGTAAGTCTTTAAAGTTGTTCATATAGTGCAAATAATGTATGTTTTAGGTGTCGTCAATCCATCAGTATTGTACGTTTTAGTGTCTGTGCAAACGCAAGTAAATGAACGTTTTGGAGAACCACATATTACGTAAAATACATACAAATTCTCATGAGATCACGTTGGTTCTTCTAGTAAAACCTCTGCCTTTACTGTATGACGACTACACTTTCATTTCCAGAAAAAAAATATATTTTGTCCTTATGCTTCACTAAAAATGTTATTCAGTTTATCCCTGAACATACAGAAGCATCTCCTTCTATTGAGCTTATAGCCTCATGCTGCAGCTAATAAACTGGATAGAGAATTATGATGCTTTATAAAACAAAACTGTCTGGCTCCATTAATGCTTGTCGAATGAGGGTTAAAATACACACAAACAAAGAAAGATACACAGAAATCAAAGATTAAAAAAATGATACGGCACATAAGAGCCGGCACATAACCATAATGGTTAGTGCATATGCTACAATGCGTTGAGCTGCCATGCTCACCTAGGGTGTCCAGATGGGACTAGGGTTGCCAACCGTTT